ACACCAGCCTCTGAGCCAATTATTCATTGCTTGTGCTTTCCAAGCCTGCTCAGTGTCTCTCACTGCCCCTGAAGGTATAGAACAAAAAATCAATTGAGCTCCTGCTCCTTGAACTAAATGCCCTCAACCCCTGAAATATCTTTTCATGGTTTGTAGGCTTCTCTGAGCAATTTAATCACTGTCCACCTCAACTACGAGTAAAGGAAAATAATTAGTGGACCTAACCAGCTTTAGGAGTTTCCCGGTTATGTTCCTGACCCAGGCCTCAGGAAGGCAGCACACTTCCCGACGGCTTGGGTCCGGCTTGCATGTGGGGCCTCCATTCCTCCAAGAAGGGAGTCACCCACCACGACCACCCTTCTTTCTTTCCTGACAGAGGCAATCTCAAGGTGTGGGGGTGACTGCCTCGCCTTAGGCTCCCTCCTAGGCAGATCCTCCAGTGCCTCCCCACTCACCTCCACTTCAATTTCTAGCATCTGAAACCTGTTGTTTGGAGGGAGCTGGGGAAGTGGGGTAGGCAGGCACGGGAAACTCCTGTGACACCACGTCGGGACGCTCTTCCAACCCTCCTCATCAATCAGGTCTGTCCAACTGTGACAGGGCAGGGGGCCACCACTTTTCAGGGAATAGCTCCCTGGCACCTTTCTGTCTGGCACTCCAGCGAGTCACTCCACCAGTTGATCTCCTACTCACACTCCCTGATGGTCTCAGCCTCCTCCCCTCTTAAGGTCACAGTTGTTGTCTCCATGGCCATTGTTCAGGCCTGACCGACATCATCTGGCTGTGCAATGCCCCCCACAACCTCCCACAGCATCTACTGGACCCCAGGTGTAATGAGGAAACTGCTCTCCCTGCAGCCGCTTGCTATTTTCTATAGCTTTGGAGGTAGCTGCTACCATTGACAAAGAAATGTGTTCAGTTCCCCCAAGCCCCATCCCCATGCCGACCTCAGAAACTCTTCCCCCAATTACTAAATATGTAGGACACATTTGCTCCCCTTATTTTGAAGGACATGACTACACTTCCTCAAAATGAGGCTGCCCTGGGACACAGTGGGCCTCATGCCTGCCTTGCTAACAACATCCTCCTTGGCGGCCTTCTTCCATGGGGCCCTGCAAGCAGCAGTCCTGCACTGAGCTTGCTTGAACCTGAGCTTCAGCTTGAACTTGTCTGGACATCACTTGCATTCCTCCTTCCTCTGCTGTCAGTGTTGTCATAACCAAAGCACAGAGCAGCTGGTACGAACCTCCCTCTGATCACCCAGCTGGAGCGCTTACTCTGACTGTTTCCCACACCAGCTAAAGCAAACATAGAAGATGAAACTTCCCTGTCCTGTAGAAGACTTGTTTGTGGGGCACCACCACCAACATTGAATTGATGGGCCATGACTCTTTGCTATGGATCCAGACAAAACAGCTGAGCTAGGTAGGCTCAGGCTTAAAAGCCCTCCTGTTAGGCCTGTGCCAAGAAAATTTTTACTTGAGCCCCTTCCTGGGACAGGGGCAGCAACCAAGGGCAAGCACCCTCTCCTGTAACATCATATTTGAACCCTAGCATCTTCCACCTCTTTAAGCAATTATTGTCTCTCTTCCACTGGCTGGACCAGCTGGGGAGTCCCCAGTCCATGCCTACCTTTGTTCCAACAATCTAACCTACTATCCTGAAATGAGGTAACTGTATCCATTTCAGCAAAGCAATGCCACTTTAATGCTTCTTTCTAATGCTTCTAAGTTCTTCCTCCAACCAGACTGGATGTGGTTCTGGGCAGCCTGGTCTAGTGATTGGCAACCCTGCTCTAGTGGCTGGCAACCCTGCTCATGGCAAGGGGGTTGAAGCTAGATGATCTTTGAGGTCCTTTTCAACCCAGGCCTTTCTATGACTCTATGATTCTATGAACTATAAAAGTGCAGATTCACAAAACTTTGCCTTTAGGACCACCACGTTACCTGCCATATAGATTCAGGAACTTTTAGGCCCTGTCACCATCCATTTCACTTATTTGGCTACAAACAAAACAGAAAAACTGGTAGACATCACTTCTCCCAAAAAAAGCACAGAGACTGCTCCCAATTTACATATCTGAGGGTAAGCTTAAAGATCAAAGCTCTGTTGAATATATTTATGGAGGAATTTAAATTTAGCTCAGAAAGATGTGATTCTCTGTTCTCTCCACATATTGGATCCCTGTGCTGCCAGCTCCTCCAGTTTTCCTTCAGGACATTCCTCAGATCCACAGTTCTTTAGCAAAACAAAAGGTGCTGTTTATTTCTCATTCTCTCTCAATTAATTTTTTTTTTTTTTTTTTGTAAACACCCGATTTCATCTCACCAGTTTCATCCACACATTAATAACGCCTTATTTCTGTTAGCCCTGTACACCTTTTCAAAATTCTTTCAACAAGTGTCACATCTTCGGCCACTCATCCTTTAATGTGCTTGCTACCGTAATCTGTAAGCACAAGCAAACCAGGATCCCTCACGGTATGGCTCAGGTGTGGAGTCCAAAGGCCACAAGACCAAGTTCATTGGAAAAGTGAGTTGGTTCCCTCCATTGCACTCAGGAATCCCACCTCCCCTTCCACCCCCAACTGCTGGAAGTATTTGCAGATTGCCAATGCTTCACGTGCGTTTGTGCGCTCCGTCAATTAAGAAGCAGAACTGCTGCGTAATAACTACAACTGATAAAATATTAACTTGTGCTTTTTTTAATAAAATGAAACAAAAGCATTCTAAATCATAGCAGCTTATAGTTCAAAACTGTCCATAGTTTAGGAGCATAGTGTAATTAAGAAGTATTAAAACTGCAAAATATTAAAGCCCTGCAGCAATTCAAATCCATGACAAAACCTTCATGCAGAGTGAACAATACTGCCTGATGTTCAACTGATTTGGTCTACTTGTTCATTGGTGAAACACAATTTTTCTTCCCTTGGTAATGGGATACCCTCTTTTCCAAAGGGGAGGAAAGGTACACAGCCCTTTTGATCAGCACGCGGTAGCTCTTTCCCTAGTTAGCCATACTCTTCATAGCACTGAGAAACGAGGACTTTCTGTTTGCCATTAGTTGAGGTAAGTTATCTTGCTTTTATTTGGGTTTAAGACTACTGTAAAGGAGTAGCTTTTCAGTTGCAGCATGGTTTGTCAAGATTACAATATTTACGACTGCATAAAATACATAAGTAAAAAATTATGATTTGTAGAGTTTGTTATCAAGAGCTGAGACTTACATCTTTACAGAACTGTAAATACTGGCTTCCTAACTGCTAGTTGATAATTTTGCTGGCAAGAGCGTTTGTTATATTTTTCTTCAATCCCCATAACCTTTTGCCCAACTGTTTTAAGAACTAGCAAAAAAAGTCATTTATAACTACAGTTAAACTGTTGTAACAGCAGTAGACAAGCTGTATACTGATTCTTCATTAAAACACCCTTCATTTGAAGCTACAAATGTAAGAGGCAATTCTTTTTGTTCAAAATAAACTATCAGCATGCTCTGTGCCTTTAACACTTCACATCGATTACAGAAAATTTAACAATGCAATCACTAACATACCCCACTAATGAGAAATTATGAGAAATCGTTTGATGCAGAACCTCCTGCATCAGTCAACTCTGATCGATGAGAAAGCTATCCATTTCGAAATTTAGATTTAATGCATTTTCAAGAAGCTAATGAGAAAGGAGCAACTTAAAATAAATACCATAATTAAAACTGCAAACTGTTACAATGATATATTATAAACTTGTCCTAGATAAACCTAGTGCTTCAAAAATTTACCAGTGAATTTGTATTACAAAATATGTGAAAATACAACAGAATACCACAACAACGTCCTTCTTTCGGGGTCAACGATGACGCCACGGTGATTCAGTCTTAACTTTTTAAATCGTTAATAGAACATACCGTAATACACGAGTTGTGATTTGGTTGAATTCTAGACACCATCCCCACCCAAACTTAAGTTCACCTTTTTCATCTCTCCTCTGAAACTAGCGCCAAACTTCCTGTCACACCCGGCATTTTCTTGAAGAGCTTCAAAATTTAGCTGTTACTTATTTTCTACTACTATGTTTTGGCAGCAACTATTTATTGGTCTGTTATTGCAAAAAGTGCAATTTAACAATAAACCAGTCTGAAGGTCATTTTATGTCTTGAGGATACATACCATATATTTCTTTAAAAATAATCATACTTTTGTAAGCAATACTTTACAGTAGACACCTCAAATCTACCATAGATGTAAAACTTAAAACGAGAAAAATTTAGTCTCTAAATCTTTATACACATATTTATATTCGAGTTTCTATATATATTATATATATACACAAGCACAAGAGTATATATAAAATATATATAATCAGATTCAAAAAAAGAACAAAAACTGGGCACTGTACATAAAATCTTTTTAAAACTCAAACAATAGAAAAACTTTAAACATTAAACAATTTTAATAAAAGTTTCTGTACAATGCTAAGCAGTTTTATTTACATATAGAAAATGTAATAGGAGTAGTGTTTGAAATTACAGAACTCCTTAAAATTTCAATGGCAGGTAATCTGGAAAAAATAACAGCATTCCATTCACAAATATTTTCAAGCAATAAATATGTATTTATAAATAGTGTAAATTTACATCAAGATTAGAAACAAAAATCACAAATCTGAAGTTTATTCCTTAGTCTATGTGCAACCCATTTATCTTTGTGACTTGGCTGTTAATTGTTTTAAATTTTATTTAGGAACCAAAAGTGTAACCGTCATGGTTTCAAAACAAGACAGAAAAACATAAAAGCAGTAAAAAAATTTATATCACCTAACTCTTCACATTAAAAAAAAAAAAAAAAAAAAATGTTGCCCAAAGAAAGACTTAAAATTTCTAACTACCTTACAAAGAAATGACCAGCTAAGCTAGTACTTTTTCCAAGGGAAATTCTGAAGGGGGAAAAACGGATGAAACCAACTCATCAGCCCAGAAACAGAGAAAATACAAAAGAGGTGGTCTTCAAGTCAGTAGTCTGTATAATGTTGCCAGTTTTGTCAGATATATACAAAACATGGAATTATTTTTTTGAAGTACAGCTGGATGAGCTTTATTTGTTTTGAGTTCTGGAGTAGGAGGCAGTGCTCTCTCCTGTCCAGTTGGTTGACACTCCGCACTTGGAAGGTTGCATAGACACAGCTTTCAGCCAGCAGCCTTACAGGATAGCTACAAAAATCAGTGGTGCAGAACTGGGTCACTTCCTGAATATCAGAAAAGTTTTCATTTAATGTCCATGAAAAAATGTCAAGATGAAGAGGATGGCAATGGAGGAGCCTGAAAAAGAAAACATTAAATTACCTTTTCTACAAAGGTGTAGAATTCAGCTGTTTAACCAAATCTGTGCAAATGGTGAGCATGACAGTTTGAAGTCAAACACTATGGTTTTTATACACTGAGACTTTGTCCAGTGGGTATCAGCTTTTTTTTTTTTTCTTTTTTTTCCAACTTATCCAACTACTCTGTGTCAGGATTTTGCCTATACTGCACACTAGATCACACTGTGGGGACATCTGAGTAGATACTACGTGAGCTGCCAAAACAAGTCCTCTTGAAGCAGAAAAGAGCTCCATGTGGGCTTATGTAGGTGTATCTTTATATACTCTAAAACAGGGATTCTCAACCTGTTTAGCCAGGGGAATGGGTGGGTCATCCCTCTGCAGCTCTCCAAATATCCTGCAGGTTGCATTTTAATTCCTCGCTACATAAACATTAACACATAACCCTGAGGTTATCTGTGGAAAGGATCAAGATTCCCTGATATGGGGACAAAGCTTTTATTTACTTATTTATTTATTTTCAATTGTCATTAATTAGTGCCTTAAGAGTGCAGGTCTAGAAGATATCTATTCCCCAATACTGTTCTTTGTGGCATTATCACCAAAAATATTGAACTTCTGATGGCACCTCCTCTTCTCTTTTTCTACACATCAGTCCTGCCTTGATGAGGAATCCCTTTAAGAAGCTGCCCTGTCTTTAAAGACACTGCAAATCACACTACAGTACTCAACTGTGCAATACTAATTCTATGTAATTCCTGCATTTACTCCTGATACTTTACCCCAAGCATCGAGCCTGTTAGTCCTACACCACCTTTGCCATCTGAGGTTATCTTTGTTCTGCAATGTGCCACAAACCTCAGCCCCTCTCCTGTAGGTTATGACTTCTCTCAATCAAAATTATAAGCCTTTTTTATAAGTGATACTGTGCATAAATTTCACTACACAACAATTTTTAATGTTCTTTAGCACTGCAGGTGTAGGCTCTGGTGGGGCAAAGAGCTGTTTACAGGTTGAGAACCCTTGTTCTAGGCACAGTTGCACTACCACAATTACCTATATAATGATACAAACACAGACCTACCCCTCCCACTCTCCCTCATTCCTCCCTCTTTTCCATACAAAAATGTTCTTGCTCATTGCACTCAGATGTGTATCTCAGAATAGGTGTTTATTTAGATGCTGTTCTTGCAACATATTACCACTTCAGAATTGCAGTATTTTACCAGCTGTAATAACAATGGGCTTCTAAAAGAGTGAACACAAGTTCAGCCATCTCAGGCTTTGTTGAACCAATGAAAAGAACTAAGTTCAGAGGACAAGGTCCTGTGCTCTCACCAGCCTCAGCTGGTGAACCTTGAGGCATTAGCTCAAAGGTTGCAACTTATCATGCCTGTATAACATGAAACAATTGTCTAAACATACACTTTCTGCAGCACCTGGAAATGAATCAAAAAGGCACAGCTGTTTCTGGGCTGCCGTATTTAATGCAACATGAAATTCTCAGAATGCTTTGTCCAATGTTTGTCTCCTTTGACAGAAAGGCAAGGCTTATCATAAATAAATCCAGCATCGCTTTCATTGTGATTACAAACAAGCCATCTTTGCCTGAAACAACGAAACCTGGGTGAAATGTTAGGACAGTTGTGCTGACACAGTTCAAAGCAGGAGGCTGCCATATATAGCACAAAGCTATAATGGCAAAGTGGCTTTTTGCTTTAAATTGAAATGCAAAGGAGGCCCCAAGCCAAAGACAGAACTGTTTGAGAGCATCCACTTGCTAAGCAGAAGGACAGTGCTGATTTGGAAGAGGGTGGGAAAGGGAGGGGGAGGAAGGGGTCTCAGTGCATAGGATGCTCTGCTGCTATACTGACTTCATACCACAACCAATGTATTAGAGATGCTCTTGAACCTGGTGCTAGTTTCTCCAAGCTTCACTGTCCTGATTCTTCCCATCTCCATCTGATCCAGTTATGGTCTCCAGGTGATCTCTATTGGATTTTTAAAGCCACAACTTTATGAATTGTAACATCATACTTTTCCTGAAAACTCAGTGGTTATGTTCTGCAGTAAGTTACTGTACTATTTCACATAATTCTGACTCTGCAGAGTTTTGTTCTGTAAATATCACACATAACCCAAACCTCCATTTGAATCAGAAAGTTCACGATACTCATACAATGGAGGACCAAGACAGCCTACAACTGCTTTACAAATAATGTATTTATGCATCCACTTATTAATTTGACTTACTAATGTAAATTGATCATAGACTTGCATCAAGTCCTCCATTTTGTACTGTTCTAGCACCACAAAATTTTCCAGGTTCGTGCTTATCTTTCGTGCACAGTCTTGGCAATGTACAACATAGGTCTTTCGAGAATTGCTCTCACTAGTGACAAAAAGCAGATCAAAGACTTCCACCTGTTAGATAGGAAACAGAAAGTCAATTGTTACCATTTCATTTGTAAAAAGTTAAAGAAAATACAGCTTTCAAGGTTGAAGACTTACAGTCTTATTCTGAGAATACAAAGGAAAAATAGATTTGTTTAGGGAAAATCCATCCTCCTAAGGCTTAGGCACTGAGGTGAAATATTATAAAACCATTACTAAACACTACACTTAGGGTGCCTGCGCTTTTGGTCAGTGTTAACAAGGCAGGGCTCATACTCTGAATAGGGGTCACTCAGTAAGGTCAAGTATGTATTACAGTTATACCTAATTCCTCTTTTTCAAATTTACCTGTAAAAAGAAAGTCATAATTTGTTCCCTTGCTACTCAGTTGCACATTCATCCTGCCCAAGAGGCTTGATCTGAAAATAATTTTAAACTGATTTTCAGGTGGGAAGTAGTTTATTTTATGCTTCACAAAGACTATTATTCAATACTTTAAAGAAGCTACTAATAGAAAGTAAAATTAAAAACTTCAGTAAAGCATTTTCTGTGAAGAAAATGCACTTATATTCTTCCCTCTTTTGAAGCTGTTGTTGATTACTGGAATGAAGATAGATATACCTTTAGAAGGAAGCTGAGCAGATCAAATTATATGCAGGAAGGGGTAACAACTTCTTAGAACAACTGAGAATGGAAAACTGACCTCGTGAATAACAATTTCTATGTACTGTGGAAAAGGCAGCAGTATAATATAGCCTGTATTAAAAAAATAGCTTGATGACCTCTTTGAAGACAGCACCGTGTCACATCCAAGTGCTTACAGCATACTGTAGATGCTGCAGTTTATAGCAGCAACAAAAGATATGTCAAAATTTCAACAAACATTGCAGTAGTACCCAAGCCCAACATGTATTTATTTACTGACCTCACAAATGCTACAGTAATGAGCTGGCTCATCCCTTGCTCGCCCATGCCAGACAATTTCTTTTCCTGCAGCAATCAGAGCTTCCCTCAGTGTCTGACACTGTTTGAGAGTTCTTAACAAGCAATACCTGCAACCAAAATCAGGATCAGAAGACTGCAGTGGCAATCAGCTCTATATTCAATTCAGTATTACACTGTCCAGAAAAATGCAAACAGCCTGAATTTCATTCACCACCCTGGAGCTCGAGCTTCTTCCTCTAGGACTTTAGAAAGACTTGTCTATTAAGAATCACTGAGCATAAGCATGACTTATGTACGAGTTAGATCACATCATTATGAACCTCTGTGTACATTTATTTCAGTTCTGCACATTTCAGTAATGTAACGAAAGTCAGTCCCTTAATAGGAAAAAAAAATAAATTAACACATTTTATGAAGAGAAGAATTGGACAATTTAAAAGAAACTATTTCCTGTCATGCTTCTACTAAGGTTAAAAAAGAAAACAGCAAACTTTTAATCTTTAAAATAGGTCACCAGATCTCTAAGTTGCAATGTTATTTACAATTATTTTTAGTTCTTAGCTATCTTATTTATTTGAGCCACTGTCTGTGCAGCCTTTAATTTTCTCCTCCACAGGGTGGTTACATTACATGTTCATTAGATGCAGAATGAAGACTGAAAAATGTAAGGGGAAGAATAAACTCTGGACAGAAAACAAAGTACTCAAGAGTTCTGTCAAAATGTTTTCAATTTGATCTTTCTCCCATTTTAAAACCTTAAAAATGTCATATATATGCTCTGCACTTCTCTTAAATATTTGTTTCATGTGCTACCAAGCAGTTAACAGAATTTCAAGCTTAAACTGCAATACTGTCCTCCTGATTTTTTACACTCAGATCATTCATTTTCACCAAAAACAAGTCTACGGTGTCATTAAAACCCTCATAATAATAATGCAAAACTGAAAGTTTGCTTTTAGATTAAATGTATTTTCATATACTCATTTTCAATGAAACCAAACAGCTCAGTTAGTTGCAACTCCTCCGCACTTTTCTAGTTTGATGTTAATGGAACTCATGATGTCTCATGATATCACAAACGATCAACCATATGTGGCAGATCACACATTAATTCACTTGAATGTTAGGCTAATGTAGAAATGCTTATTACAAGTTAATCAACTTTGGTATAGCGTTCTTTCGTGCAATCTAATCTGATTCAAAATAAACTTAAAAGCTATCACTGTAATGTTCTTTTCTGCTGTCATCTGGAACAGTCTTTGGGTATGTCAGATAACAGCTAGAAGGCCATCTACCCACTTGCAACCACTGTGTTCCATTCCTTACTTCCAAGAGTTTTCAAAGTGTTATTTTCAAAGCACTTCTGAGTGTTACAGCTGTGAAGAAAGAACTGCTCCAAGCGTAATCCGCATGCAACACCACTGTAATGTTTGCAAAATTTGCAAGCAAAGCCAAAAACAGTAGCTAGAAGGTGAATTACTTGTCCTTAGACAAAATTCAGATCTGAGTAATGGCAATGTTAACTATTTCATGCTATCAAAGAGAGAGAGAGCACATGAAGTACCACCTTGAAAATGCGTATCGCAAATTTCTAAAACATGAAAGTCAAAATGGTGCGCAGTAGAGACACAATGTTTAAGCTGAGTAGGCTTTTAGAACTGTGTGCCTGCTTTTATTCTTGCACAGTGGGAATTCAGTTAAAAAATCTGGACCATCATTCTCTCTCGAGGTTTTAATAGATATGACAAAGCACGAGCAAATCACGTCCAGTCAAATCCTGATATTTAAGAGATGATCTTAAAACAGACTTCACTCTGATATATTCTCTCAGTGTGGTGAGAAATCCATTTAACGTTTAGATATCCAGTAAAGCTTTGTAAGTGCGGAGACCATCCCAACGGCAATGCAAAACTGATCTCATTGTATCTCCAACTGATTTATTTTCCCCATCGATATCAAAATGAATTCTATCTTGCTTCATGATTTTGTGCAAAATCATTTCTCCCATGTCCTGGTCTTCTATGCTCATAAAACTATTTTGGTAAAAGAACTTACTATTCCTGTTACTTTGGAATTAATTATTTTGGCCTTTTTACTATGTCCCCACTATCTCTAAAATTCTTCCTTTCCACATGACTTCTCATTTAAGTTCTGATGTTAATTCTTCTTTTCTCGAGCACTGTGCTGTCAGTCAAACTTTAAATCATTTTGTCTGCCTGCATTTCCAGTCAAGATTCTACTCTTAGTATAAAATTTAAAAAACAATCTCATGAGAAAGTTTTAGATTTTGCCTCTTTTATCTAGAGCAAGACGGCACTCCTTCAGACAATCATTTTGAGAGGAAAATTATGCAACTGCTCACCAATTGTAAGGAGGTTCATGAAGGCTTATGCACTTAAAATATCTACACAAGGCTAAAGACATACAGTAAACAGTATTCTGGTGACAGCTGCTTCTAGTTACAGCTGTACAATTACAGAAGGGATCACAAAGAAGAGTTGTTCCAGATTACTGTTACTAGATGTAACAAACTTAGAGATCATCACTGGGTCTTCTCCTCATGCAAAGCATGAAACCAGGGGACTGACAGACAACTAACAAGGCAGAAGTGGCTTCAGTAGCCTGGAAAATGCAATAGTATGCAAGATCAGAGTCTACATCAGCTCCTCAGTAACTTTATTTCTAAAGTACATCTAACAATTTAGGTATCTCACTACAGAAAAACTCAGCTGCTATCAAACCAGATGACAACAGGAAACCATTCTGTTCTCCGCATTCCTTTGCAACACTTTAAGATTTCTCTTGGAGAAAGATGCTATGCTCGGTTATGTTTTAATCCTAAACCTAAACCATAGACAAAAAATGACTTTGCACAAATTCAAAATGGGGGTGCCAAATTATTAAAATAATATTTTGCAAAAAATATTCTACAGCTGTTCTGAGATTTGCAGTGCCTGCAGGACTAGAGAAGATAAATATACATATGAAATAAGGGCTTAGCTTTTTTTTTTTTTCCTTAAAGGACATCTTGGCTTCCTTTCAACCTCTGCTTCTTTTCCCCTCCTTTCTTATTTCCAGCAGTACACTATCGGTTTCTTTTCTTCCTTTTTAACACTTGCCACCTTGACGATGATCACTAACAGCTTAATTGAAGGGACAAAACTATTTTCAACTTCTAACACTTCTGTGCCTTTACAAAGTTACCATCTCACTTATTCCCTCATTCTGCAACAGGTGTTCAAGGCTAAGTTAAACTCAAAATACTATTTGCAAAATGGTATCTCACTCAGATGTCAATAGTAAATTCTACTAGGGGAAAAACTGATTTTCTTCACTCCTTTTTTGCAAGTTAACCTATCCATATTTCAAAGCCCATTTCAAGGCAAATCATAAAAGGACTCAATGCTTGTGGATCCAGTATGTTGAAAAGACTCAGATAAAAGCTCTTCTGGTTGGCTGAAGAAAAACAGAGAGCTGCCACCAGAGTATTGTCATGATGAGTCATTTGCTGTGGAACTCATTCTCCCACTTTCTTTCTGACAAGCCTATGATGGATGTACGCCGAAATGTCCATTTATTCCTCAATCTAGATATGATGATTTATATTTGCTTCAAGTTGCACTCTTTAAAAAAACATTACTAAAGATGCTTTGAGTCTGAAATGTTTCTGCATTTTGGAATAAGTGTTTAAGAAATGTCACTATACTCAATTATCATTTTACACATCAATTAATTCTTTGTTCTGAAGAAAGAGCAAAGGGAAGATGACTTTCCAGTTCTTATTTGTCTTTATTTAAAACATTCACATTGGATTGCTAAATGATGGTATGTGAACCTTAACTAAAGAGGTGTTCTAAAAATGCAAAATTAATTTAAATTTTGCTGTAAAAATGACCATCATTATAAATGTAGCACTTCACTCGATTTGTTGCCTTATGTTTAGTTATGTTGTCTGCTTCTGTAAACTGCTGGAGTCTGTGGCATATTTAACATCCACAAACGGCTTCTTTCTTTGAAGAATAGATTATCAAATCATTTTGGCTTGATTCTCAGAAGCCTTACAAAATCCTATTTATAGATCTACTCATTTTATGCTTGAAGAAGAAATGGGAACAATAAATGCTCAAGTAAAACTTACTTAATCATTTCAAAAAGCTTTGGATCTGAGACCTTGATATTTCGAGCCATATTCCATGAAAGATGAACCATGGGTACTATGGACTTCACGCTCTGCAGTTTATTCCATTCGTACCGTTCCACTGCCAATTTGTATTGACAGGCTACATAAAAAGAAAGTTACAGAAGTAGTTAGGTAACAAATAAGTACCACCTGAACTCAAAATGATTTCATTACATCAAAAATTTAGACTTCTTTGTGGTGAGACTAAACAGCATTTCTGAATAACTCATTCCCAGCAATATTTAAATTCTACAAAATTTATTCTTAAGCACGTATTTATTGTATTTCAGATGCTAAAAGAACACAAAGTATCACAGTAGTAACAACCACATGTGAAAACAAGGACTTGCTGACAACTATTCAATTCCTATGCTGAACAGAGTACGCATTTTCAAAAACTATTACTTAATAATTTTCAAGCTTTTGACACAAAAAAAATCTACATTCGAGGTGTCTGTATCTTGCAGGCATTTGCAATGTCTGCATATTCTTTATCATTTCACAATGCTACAGTATGTAATTTGAAAATGAAGACTGCACCTTGAGAGACTTGTGCAGTGAGTCAGACTTTCTGATGAAGCAGCCTACTCACCCCACCCTTTTCAAAAAACTTGTTTTGCAAAATTTACTGTGATTGAACACGTAAGCTCTGTATCAGTCACATAATCATGGAGATAAACTATTTATTGCACCATAATGAAATAAAGATACACCTTAAACTATTTAAGAAAACAGGTTTTTTTGGAAGTACAATCTGTTCAAATGCTTGATAGAATCTCCTTATTTTAGCTGTGAACTTTTCTTCCATTCTCACATCTAAAAGCCTTCTTAAATTATGGTTCAAAAATAATGACTACCAGAGGAGTAAACCTTACATTCCTTTGTTTAAAAAAATTTACAACTGTTTGCATTTTGTGATGCTTTCATTAAGGAGCTATTACGTATGTTTTATCCTGAAAAGGGGAGATTAGACAAGTCTTCATATGCATGCTGTAGTAAAGTCTGTTGGGTAGAACAAGTTTTGGAAGAGAAAGTTAAAAAAGCAGCCTACAAAACACAGTGCATGAATTCCTCTCAACATTTTATTCTGCTTGTGTTTGATAAGCTACTGTAAATTTTAGAAGTCCATTAAATGCAGAAATGTAAAAACAGCATTCTTGCTGCTTTCATTTCTTATTACCAATGGGATTATTTAATGCTTCAACAAGAAATGTTTCAAAATACTGTATATTCATTTTTTAATCCAGAAAACTGAAGTAAACTATTAAGAAATGGCAGGTTCTACGGCACAGAATTACCTTACAATGCATTATTCAACTATACCTGTAAGAGGGCCAACATTCCAAGCAATGTTGTTGCACCAGCCGATAGCTTGAACCCAGTGCACAGTGCCAGCATTTATCCACACCAAATCCCCTGGTCTTTGAATAAATCGATAAACTGGGACATTGGCTTCATACAAATCCTCCAAGTTTGGCCACCAAGATCCCATGAGAAAATTCATATTGTTCCTGAAACAATGGGAAAAATAAAGCTGTCAGCATTTATCAGCATATGTATTAGTAGCCAATACTTCAATGACATTACCTGTAAAAGTGATCACCACTGTCTATATTTTTGACATCTAATCCCTGACGCAGTAGGACTAGTCAGAAGGAAAGTTTCACCTACAGAAATCCTGATCCCAGTTCCCTGTTTTATATCCTGCAACATTAAAATGTTCAACCATCTGCTTATGTGAAGTGAGATGATGGCATAGAGTTAAGTTCTATTTTCCTTTCAATTTCCCAGCATTATTAATGCTGAGGTAGAGGAATTCTTGCTAGATCTAGCGTGACACTGGTGCAGAACGATGCTTTTTTTAACCTGTGACTGATTTTACACACAGTTCTTAAGAATGCTTTCAGTTTGGAACAATGCAAAACATGTACTCATGCTGTCAGTGTGAGCGTGCAAAACTCATCCGCACAAGAACTTGTTGGCACCATCTCAACTGCTATTCACAGGTCTACGCTATGTTCAGACAGAAAATGCTACCCCTCCTGAGAAGCATTAAAAAAAAGCCTCCATATGGACTTCCTAACAATGAAATCCTGAGTCTTCCAATGTGGTACTGTGAAATACATACATTTCTCCCTTCCTCATCCCAATTTTAGAGTGATTTTCTATTGCACCAGGAAAGACCACTGGCAAGTTTTCAAAGACCATTCAGTGCCTCCGACTGGCACTCTGTAGAGTTTATGAGGTTACGAAATTTTTAGACTCCCTTTTAGTCTCAGAAAGGGCAGTGCCATGAGGGTAAAAGGCCTATCATCATTACAGACATTGCATTTTTGACAGTGGAATTACAATACCGAGGAGGGTAATCTTTGTAAAGGTTGATTCAATAAGAGCAGTTGTCAGTAGACAAGCAGAAAATAGGTACTGAGAAGAATATGCAGAACGCTGGGAAAGTTCTGAAGAAAGCTGAGGAGTTTAGGTCGGTTTTTAAATGGGCAATGTAAAAAACAAAACAAAAAAACAAAAAACGTCCCTTAAGATCAAATGAGATGGGACTCAACTGCTCCTAACTGCCTGTTTTTTTTTTTAAGCAGACATGCAACAGGAGGAACAGACATAGAGATGGACCACTGCTACCTAACAATCAACGCACCTCATTTTTAAGTAAGCTGCAAACTTGCAAGTATATGCAAAGCATGCTATGAAGCCTCCTGGAGTTCAGGTAAACTAAGCTCTCCCATTAGATGCAGCAAGAAACAATGCCAAAACACCAATGGCTGTGTAATTCCTTAAGTATGACACGTACATTAATCATAATAAAATTAACAACTTACAATACCAGAAAAACACCTCATTACTCCTAAAAAAACAGACCAACCAACCAACAAAAAAAAAAAAAAAAAAAGAGACCTACCAAAACAAAAACCAGCTCCCTCACCCCCCAATTTTTCCATCACCCAACTGCAAAGGTCCTAAAAGTAACCATAAAAGCATCACCATTTGGAAAGAGTAGATGGTACTTTCAGGTTGTTGATAAAGAGGCTAGCCAAACAAAAGGACTGAGATGGATTATCCAGTAATGTAAAGTTTTGGGAGCAAAGTTATCACTGAGCACCTAAGGCAATCCAAGCTCCTTCCCACTGCACAAATGCTATATCTTGCAAATATTCCAGATTTTACATTTTGACTTGTTATAAAAGACTTTTCAAACTACGTGGAAAACCCATTAAAAACTCACTTATAACTTGCCCTTCTCCCATTAGGTCTGAGAAAGACAAATGCAACTTGAAAAAAACAGGGAACAGTATGCATGACTTACTTTTCACAAAAGTCATTCATGACACCCCAATAGCTTTCAGGAACAACAAACCATTCACAGTCACCTGGACCAATGTTTATATTTACTGAACAAAAGTTGTTGTTTTCTTGATGACCTGAAATTTAGAAAAAATAAACACGTTTTCTGTAAGGCTGATTTATCAAAATAACCAAGAAAATGCAAAGTAGGTTATAATTACTAAAAAAAAAACCTACATCACAGTTTCAGTTTCATAAACTTATTAAATGCAATATTTAGGTACTTCACAGTGTCAAGAAATGCAATTAAGTTCTAATAACAACAGAATTCTGCTTTTGTTAATTTGTGCAAAATAAGTTGGAACTACCAATCTGACTAATGAATCTGACTAATATTTCAGCTGCTTCCTTTCTGTAGAAATCAATGCTTCAAGTTGCTAAAGCTTACATAATGTGTTTGTGATAGCTTTTGATAATCTCATTTCGGAGAGAAACTTCATGACTTCAGGCACTAACAAACAAGTAGTAAGAAAATCTGTCCCAAGGAACTTTCAAAAATCGATGCAGAAATGCCAGATCTTACCTTCTTTTGACAGCTGAGGAGCTGAACCACAATCCCTAACAGTATTATCTGAAGTTGTACTTCAGCACTAACAGACTCTGGAACTTAGTCCAGAGGATGAGCAACAACAGACATGGAGAAGGATGAGGTACTCCAATTCTTTGCCTTGGCCTTTGCTGGCAGTCAACCTTCCCACATCTCTCACATTGCTGTACCTCTAGGCGCAGGCTATGGGAGCAAAACCACTCCCATGGGAAGCAAAAAGTTCAAGACTGTGATAAAACTGCATGTGTACAAGTCTCCGGGGTCTGATTGACATGCATGGCAGTGTACCAAAGGAACTGGCTGATGTACTTGCTAAGTCACTCTCCATCACAGCTATCAGGTGAAATCCCCGGTGACTTAAAAAAAGGGAAACTTCACTCCCATATTTTAAAAGGGTAGGAAGAAAGATCCAGGAAACTACTACCTCACCTCTGTGCCTGGGAAGATACTGCAGTAGATTCTCCTGGAAGCTATGTTAAAGCACAGGCAAGAGAAGGAGGTGATCAAACACAGCCAGCACAGCTTCACCAAGGGCAGGTTGACCAATCTGATGACCTACTACAATGGGGTGACAGCACTAGTGGACAAAGGAAGAGCACCAGATGATGTTTACCTGGACTTCTGCAAAGCCTTTGATATGGTCCCACATCACATCCTTATCTCCACATTTGAGAGACGTGGATTTGAAGGCTGGACTATTCAGTAGATAAATAATTGACTGGATGGTCACAGCAGGGGGTTGTGGTAAACAGTTCTATGTTCAAGTGGAGGCATCCACCAGGAGTCCACCTTGGTATTAATGCTCTTTACTATCTTTATCAATGATCCAGATGGTGAGACTGAGTGCACCCTCAGCAAGTTTGTAGATGATACCAAGCTGAGTGGTGCAGATGACACAACAGAATGAATGGATGCCATTCAACAGGGCCTGGATAAGCTTAAGAGGTGGGCCCATGTGAACCGAATGAGGTTCAACAAGAAAAAGTACAAGGTGCTGCAGTTATGTTGGGACAATTCCAAATATGTGTGCAGACTGAGAGAACTAATTGAGAGCAGTCTTGCGGAGAAAGACCTGTGGGTCCTGATGGACGAATAGCCAAATGCAAGCCAGTAGTTTCCAGTCTGGAAGACCAACAGTATCCTGGGCTGCACCAAGCGGGGTGGCCAGCAGGGCAAAGGAGGCAATTGTCCCCCTCTGCTCTGCCCTTATGAGGGTACAACTGAAAGTACCGTGCCCAAGCCTGGGGTCCTCAGCACAAGAAAGATTTTGCAGCTGTTGGAGAAAGTCTGAAGGAGCCAACAAGGATGAACAGAGAGAGGGCTGGAGCACCTCTCCCAGGAGGGAGCATGGGGAAGTCTCCAGGGAGACATCACTGTGACTTTCCATTACTTAAAGGGAATTTATAAACAGGAGGGAGACTTTTTGCATGGTCCGATAGTGATAAGACAAGGGAGAAGGGTTTTGAAATAAAACAGAAAAGATTCAGATTAGATATTAGGAGGAAATTCTTTACTCAGGGAATGGTGAGACACTAGAATAGGTTGCATAGAGAAGCTGTGATGTCCCATCCCTGGAGGTGTTCAAGGCCAGGCTGGATGGAGCCCTGGGCAGCCTGGTCTAGTTGGTGACCCTGCTCATGGCAGGACGGTTGGAATTAGATGATCTTTAAAGTCCCTTCCAAACAAAGTCATTCCAACGTTCTGTGATCACCCAAGCCTCAGTCAAGTGCCTGTACTGGGTTTGGCTGGGATGGAGTTTATTTTCACTAAACATCTGTGTACCAATAGGAAGCAGTGAACAAATTCCTTATTTTGCTTGACTTGCATGCACAGCTTTTGCTTGACATATTACAATGTCTTTATCTCAACCCAAGAGTTACTACACTTTTATCTTTCTGATTCTCTTCCACATTCAACTTGGAAGGGTGTGAGTGAGACGCTGTGCAGCACTTAGTTGGCTATTAGGGTTAACCCACGATAGTGTCATAGCACAGCACTACCCATTATGAAGCCCTATTCTCAGACAGCAGTGAACAATTTTAAAAGTATAGGGATTACTATGATTATACAAGACCTACTTGGGAAGTCTGTAAAAACTTTCAAGGCACGCCAACTACAAACTTGGTTCAAGTATATGAACTCATTCTTCTCCCCTTAAAAAATCTGGAATCCAGTGTTACATGCAAGAGATTAGAATGACAACTATCAAGCATTACAGAAATTCAGAAATTTCTCCTAAAAGATAATTTAGTGCTTTGTACATGCAGATTCAGTTAATCTAGAAATTAAAAAATAATGACTATGTACTTCATTATCATATTTATGCCCGCTATAAAATACAGAAAACCTGCAGAGCAGATAAATTAATTCGATAGCAGCAAATTCCTTTGTTTGTTTTTTTTTTCCATACAAAAATTATACTCACCTGGTGTTCTGCTTCCTGGAACCTTCATGTACAACTGCACTGTGTTCATGCCCAGGATGGTATGACCAACATGGCTTAGAAGATTTCCTGCTGATACCACACGTACAAAAGCAGGAAGTTTTGTCAGTTCATGGAGTTGCAACTTCCACCTGCAGCAAAATAGCAAATTGACAAACTGTGAATCCCTGAAACTCTTAGAACTGAGTTTGGGAAATACAAACATTTTCAGAAAATTGTTATCATAGGAGATGAAGGAGTAGACGACTCACTGCTGTATAATTTAGCATCTTTTAGAAGGGAAGTTTATAGAACGCAATAACCTTACTTGACAGCTAGAGAAATTTAAACGTGAATTTATTTTAACTGTGAACTAGAAGACCTGGTGACCTAACTCAATCTTGCAGTTATTTAATCTGGTGCTATATCACAAGAAAACTGCTTTTAGTTTACACCTTGGTGTGTATCATATATCTTTTCTGTAAACACAACGGTCTGCTGTTCCCACACTCTTAAACCAGTCAGAAACTGTTACTGATGCTTTCAAGAGCCAAATGATATTATGTCATGACATCTGCTAGGAAGACTGTCTGAACATAGTTTCACTTGCAGACATGATTGCTATAACCAGGAGTGAAGTCAGCTGTACGCACGTGCCATGGAACTGAATGCTTTTATTAGTGATAATATCTCTAAATACAAATTCTCCAAACTTATGTGGGGCTCTGTAATGTCACACAGGTATCTGTGCTACCCCTTCAATTTGAAAACATTTCCAAATACAATCCTGAGTATGACAAGCCAGTTCAGGGAAAAACTGTTTTGTATCAGAAATTGAGACTGAAAATCAGACGTGGAATGTATGTGTGATTCTATGAGACCTATTTAAAGTATCAAAATACAATTTCTATGATCCTCTGCTTAGTCGTTCCCAGGTTAGGGTTAAAGTCTTTCCAAAAGGATTGCTCTAAGGGTTAGTTTATTGGCAGTAATTTTGTAAGACAGAATTTTGTTTAGAGAAATATAAGATCTTATTTTAAATTTTACAACAATCTCTAATCACGTATGTATACACACAGAATATGTGCAAAAAATTCATTAGCATCCTCCAATTTCCAGTACTATAACCTTTTCTCCTGTTCTCCTAACTGAAGTGGATCAGAATTTTACTACTGCAGTGGGTAGAACAGTAATAGCACGCACTTCCAAAAAAGATCCAAGCAGAGACTGAACTAAATAAAAAATTATTACTGGATAAAAACAAAAAAGAATGCTTTCAGTGTATTTCTGAAACATTGTGAAGTTTTTCTGAGCCATTTTCCTTATTTCTTGGTCTCACAGAAATCTCTCATCTGAAGAATTCTCTGTATTCCCCTTACGCTTCTAATTTTATCATGGCTTTTCCACTCATAGTCATCAACTGGGACTTTGCTACATACTCTGAGCACTGCTTCTGAATCGAGAAGCAAGAGCTAAGAGAAAAAGGAAACAAAATAAATGAGAATAGGTATAAAAGGGGGAAAAAAGGGAAAACAATTTAAAGCATCGGAATGAAACAAATGGAATATATTAGAAGTATTACTGGAAAGAAAAGTGACTGATGGAATTTGAAAGTTCATTACTGAAAAATTAAAGATACTGGGAAGACAAACTCAAAAACAGATTTTAAGGTAAGAGGGATTTATAACAACAATTTAACAAAAGATTAAAGGTAACATGGCAATACAGCTTGCAACTGGAATTGGGATTATCAGGAAATAACTGTCTTCCGAGAAGAATTCGCTTTCCAGAAGCATTGGCTTTCCAGAAGAAGCGTAACAGTGCAGAATACCACTGTGGGCAAAAGAAACTGCAATCAAACTTACTTTTTGTCATCTGACAGGTCAATGTTGGTCCCAAACTTGATTGTTTTAAAAGGTCCTCTTCTCCTCCTCCCAGAACTGTAAATATAAGAAGTAGTAGTAGGTGGATGTGCAAATAGGAATAGTGTAAAAATACACACAAATGTAACTGTAAAATTACCATATTTATACCACACTTACTTATCTGAAGATGTGGATTCATTATCTGAGTGGTCCTTGTGGTGACTCTTTTTTTCATTTTCCTCCTAAAAATGCAATTGTGAAAATGCTATCATTTATTTAAACAGTGACATCTAAATAATTTAAATATTAAAAAGAATATTCATAAAAATACAGGCACACAGAAGTATGAAGTAATAACATTTGTTTGAAAACGGTGGTACAACGTTTAAAATATCTGCATCCAGGGTCTCATGCGAATGCTGCCACTAAGAAAATAAACATTATTAGTCAAAAGCTGTTGCAAAAAATCTTTGTGATAAAAATTCTGTGAGGTTCAGGCCAGGACAACAGGAAATTTCTACACTGTAAACTCTTTTAGAGTAACTCTTACTGTATAATAGAGTAACTTTTACTGTAACTCTATTAGAGTTACAAATTTATGTGCTGGGTTTGCTTCATTATGCAGGTAAAAAGAAATCCAATCTAACATTTTGAGACCAGAACATTTATCTGCCTTCAAAGTACAACAGGTCTCCTGATGTGAAAATAGGCTGACTAATATTTATAAAATTCATTTTACAATATCCATTATACAAAGTTCTTTGAATTTTTAATAGCCATCTGCTATTTTAGCACTGCAGTAGCTAGGACCATGACTAGCGGAAAAAGTCTAACCAGCATTAAGTGATGTAATTTCATCTTTTTAGTACAGTGGGCTCAAAGTTCGGTTTTAAAAACTTCCTTTTTCACAAGTATACAGGCATAGAAGGAGAAAGTAAGACAAAAAGCAGGAAGGAACTGCCTGGATGCTGTCCAAAGACTCTGTGCTTTGAATGAGGCAGTTGTTAGACATCAAAGTGCCCTATGTACCTGAGAAAGTCCTATTCATCCTTTGAACGAAGGACAAAGAGGAACAAAAAAGGATTGAGCAATGAGGGTTTTATAAAATACTGTAAAACATGTTAGAAAAGCAACGTTATAGTTGTTAGAGGGGGGAAAAAAAGGTCACTTAAGGCAACTCAAGAGAACTGTATCTGTAGAAAGGAGAAACTCAGCTTTCATTTGAACACTGAAAAGTCATCTAAGGACAGGTCACAGCAGTGTTAGGAAAAAGGAACACAAACAAAACAATGCCATTTTGATTTTTGAGGAAAAAATGAAAATTGACATTATGAAAACTATTTTATGTACTACATTTTTATCACCACTTTGTAGCAGAGGAAAAAACAACACAGAAAATACTGCAATTGCTTCTTGATGCAAAAACAAAGCTGAGGCTTTCCTGCAGACAGGAGTATATGTAATCAACCACATACTTTATTAAAAGTTAGCTTTCCTGTAGTTTTATTTATACACAATGTTCTCCTCCAGAATGATGCTCAAGAACCCAACATCAGTACAATTCTTTGAGAAAAATCCCATTCATAACTGCTTAGACCAAGCCACACACTATTCTGCCCAGATCTCCCTGCTTCCCGCATGGTATTCCTGTGTCTTTTCCTCATCTTGTATCAATTTGGCTTAGAATATTTAACCACTCTCCCTTTTCCTTTTTCCAACCACAGATACATTTCTTTGCTTCTAATCCCTCCCAGCAATGCAAGAAATTAGGGAATTTCTCTTTCTTTTCTTAATGAAATCATCACTGTTTTTGTGTAATGGCAGTGAAAACTGAAACAGTCAATTCTCCACTTTTTCTCCTTTTTCTAATACACAAGTGATCAATAATACCCTTTGTCCTTGTTGCACCTTAATCTAGTCTTTCCAAAGCACTCAGTAACATAAGCCTTAGATGAGTGCCTTTATCTAATTCAAAGTATGTGTTCACTAGTTAACAAAAATATTGAAACTCAGTACCAATGAAGTATAATGTTTGCAACACTGTGAACATTTTACTCAGTTCTGTATGTCTAACAGCTCCTAAAATGTTAAATTTGGAACCCATCAGTAACTAGTACAGGAAACATCAGTTACTCTTCTGCAAAAAAGTTTCTACAATATTTTAAACAGTTGTATTAGAAGTATGAGCATAAACTTCTAATAAATTACATCCTGATTCATTCAGGTTACAACAAAGAATGAAGTCATGCCTAAAATTTGAACCAATATGACTGAAAAAAAAAAAAGAACATCTGAAATTTTTAATATTTCAATATTAATTCTGACATCACTATAAGAAGGCTTAAAGCTAACAAGCTTTTAAAATACGTAACACTAAGTAGCTTTATATTAAGAAAATGAAGTCTATGTTAAGCACATGAGAGAACATCCTGTATAGTATTTAACGCTCTGTTTAAAATAGACTGTAAATTCATCTGTGCTTTTCATGCTGGTAGGAATGTCTCCATTTCTTGAATGACATCTGGACTTCTTTTTCAAGAGATTTTACTAACAGAGCTTAATTCCAGAGTTAGTACACAGGCCACAAAATTCTAATTTACATAACAGCAATATATTTACCCTTAAAGACTCCTGGAATGAGGAGGCCTGGTACTGTGCATATTTAGCAATTGTTGTATGAGATCTACTGCTTTCACAACGCCAGATTTTCTTTGTTCCAGTGGGGTCCCAGTTTTCATCTGCTGGCTGCAGTAGTTGTGTCCTCACTTCTACTACGTGTTCGTTATTTGCTTCTACCAATGTCTTAGTAGAGAAGAGTCCTAGATCTAATAAATAAGAAAAAAAAATCACAAATGGCTGTTAATATATGACAAGAAGGTTTAGAAGAGATGATATTAATACTTAACATTATCTGATTGATTTATAACATATATATATACACATATATATATGAAATGTTAGGCAATGCTCAAGAGGCTTTTCTACACAACAGCAGAAGCCTAGAAAAACCTTGACAGCTATTTTACAGACCATATTCCAACTACAAATCCATAAGCATGTGTAACTCAATTAACAAATATTTTTCAGAAATTAGAGCTCTATGAATGTTCACAGTGACATCACTAAATCAAAGCACAAAGTCACATAGGCATAGTTTTCACAAGAAAAAATTTCTGCGTATAAGTTCCCATACCATCAGCTCAGTTTCTGTCTGTGATCAACGCTATCTGATGGAAGTTTGCTATTATTTTTTTTTTAAGTTGATCTAGGTTAGAAATAGCAGTGAGCTAAGTGACATGTTCCCTTAATTACTCTAAACAGAACAGTAATGCAGTATGAAATATCCACTTTCAAGAACTGAGAAATATCATTGAAAAATATATCTATTTTTACAAAGAAAATGTAACCAAATTAAAGTTACCTAATTTAAGCGCTCCAGCAAGGCCACGTATTACAGTAACAGGGTTGTTTGGATTTGTACAAAATTGATGTAAAGGTGGAAAGAAAGCGTCTCGTTTATTTTCCAACTGTAAAATTACAATGCAGTATTAGATATCAGATGAGGCTGGACTTCTTGTTTGTAAAATAAGAAAGAACAATAAAAAATGTGAAACAACAGAAGGAAGACAGGAATTTCATTCATTTCTTCACACTGAGGGCATTGAATAGCAACATACAACCATTTTCCACGTTGTAAGCTGGGTTTACTCCTGAAATTAATTCGTTATTGTAATTTATTTCTTGGCATGAATTATTCCCAGGTTGCTTCGGCTTTTGCAACTCAGGTTTCCTGCAGTTTATTTCTTTATCTGACAGCAGCCCCGTAAATTCTCTAAATCTGCAGAATTCTCTGAAGAGCAAGATAATGTACTGACGTTCTTTTCAGAATTTAAAAAACTAATCCCGCAGATAATGTATACAAGAAGCAGTATAATTAAAAAGTGCACTCTCAGAGTATATCTCATGTTAACTGCAAAAATTGATTTCTTTTTCCTACGCTTTTGTAAATCTACAACCTCGATTTTATGCTGCAGTTTCTCCTCACTTTCATTTTTAATTGCTATGAATCCTTTAAAATCCTGCAGACGGACTGTGAACAAAGTATCAATGACACTGTAGACAGAGACTGTATATATGCTGAAGACATCTCTTTCAATAAACAACACAGTTCCTAAATACCGGGACCCATGTTTGCACATCCACATCCAGAATGCTGCAACATGGGGATTTATCAGCTTTGCAAATACTCAATGAAGCTACAACAGACTCTTAATTAGGAAGATTAACTCAGGTTCAACACTAAGAGCAGCACTATTGCTTCCAACATAATCCAGTGCTTAAGCAGACTGCTTGGACTGCAGCACACAAGTCTGCCAAGTGCTTCTGGTCCTAAAGTTCAGCTGAGCAAAGCTACCCTGAGGTTTTTATACTAGCTGAATGGGCACACTACAGTTTACAATTTCATTATTAAGAAAGTTACCTACAATGCTGCATAAAGCTATTACCGAAGTTTATTTCTGGAACAGGAGTTTCAATGGATGCATAAGAAAAAAAAAAACCCTACCTTAAAAAGCAGTTTGATTCAATGATGTTTGTAGGCCCCTTCCAACTGAATTATTCTATTAATAAAACTTTTATTTTCCTAACTGATGACATTTTGTCGTTACCATCATCTCAGCTCTAATTAATTTTCCCTACAATATTTTGAAATACACTGTCAGGAAAGTTCAGTTTAATCACTTGCTTTCTTATCACTGAAACTGTCATTTGCAAAAAATGTACAAATACACCTAAATTGCTGTGTATTATAACTCACAAACTATTTTTGCCTATTCCATCAGTACTATAAATAATAAATAAGCCTAATTTTTTGAAGCTGTTCTTCACTCACAACTGCACAAGTCTAACATTTTCCCTCTTCATACACTGTAACTAGAATTCAGCTGTGAACACTGCATCTTTGAAATAACTGCATAATGTAATTCAGATACTCAAATAATTAACAGCACACAGTCAGCAAATTACTTCTACTTTACTTACATAAATACTAGGTGTAGGTGGATTCAGCTTGTCCTTTGGCAAGGGAGGGTATGGTGGAGGCGGTGGTCGTGGAGGTGGGCATTTATCCAATAGAATACTACTGTTAGATAAGCCATTTTTACCCAGATTCCTAAAAGGAAAGAAGAGCTGTCTCTATCAATACTTGACAAATACAACAAAAAAAATTAGTGTTATCTTTCCTGCAAAATAATGACAGTAACTAGAAACTGTAATTCAAGATGCAAATAAAGCTCATATATATTTTAATAGAGTATTCTCACTGTATAAATTGATATTATTCAAAATCATTCCAATTTTCCCCTCCAGTCTGCAATGTCATCACCACTAGTTAAAAATAAAGCCTATTTAAACAAAAGCTAGCATGACTCATTTGACCAAATCTAACACAGAAAGCAGTTTTCAAATAGAAACAGAAGAACCTTACTAGGCTGGCACTGGCTGGTGGATAAAGAATTCACAGCAAGTGAGATAGTGCAGTCTGGTAATACTATGCACAGCACTGTAACAGAGTAGTGGCAAAATGATAATTCCTCAGCAAGAAGAACAATGCTGGAGTCACAAAAATAGAAACATACAACACTAAATTATACAGCCACCTATCTACCTTTCCCTGACTGCCACATTTTGAAGCTAGAAGGAACCACCATTACTTCACCATATTGCTTGGAAAACACAGGAAAGAACTACTCTTGTTAAGCTGTTGTTTCAACACCTGCACTTGTACCTGAATCAGGACCTTGCTTGGTGTAATTGCTAATCTTTCTCTGGAGGTTTTGAGGCATGGACAGCCTACTGTATGCATGTCAGCTTCTTCTATTATGAATGACTTTCAGTGCTGAAAATGACCGCAGAGATTGAGAATCCACAATTTCTAGTCACTATCACCAGGTCCTCATTAACAGAGATATCCCCTAATTTTGGTTGTTTGTTAAAAATAACTGCATTGCTTTAAATTTCTTCTAACTAATATTCAAATCTTTCTTCCAACCCCATTTAATTCATTAGCTACTGTTCTTACCATTTCTCAGTGCTCCAGGATATAAGATGTGCTAAGGCGTGATTCAGTCGTTTATCCTCCTAGAACTCACTAGCTACAAAAATATGTCCTGATAACCAAGGTTCTTCAACAGAAAACACAGCTGCCACAGTATTAGGTGAAACTTCTATCAATATAGCTTGTAACAAACACAGAAACTGTGATATTAGCACTGAGAAACATCCTAGAGCTTAATGCTGGCATGTGAGAGCATTATTTCAAATCAAGCTATTACGAACCATGAGTAAGAAGGACTTTGGGCTTAAGATCACAACAGACTGACTGTTATGACAAATACTTTAAAGAACAAACATCACATGTACCTCAGGCTGTAGCAAAGACGAGCATCCAGAGAAATTGTTGTTCATCATGACAAGGAACAATTTAAACTTAAACCAGATTTCTATCTCCTACACTTCTATCCTCTGATGGGAGATCAGAGCAATACAGACAAAGACATAACAAGTGTCTCAAAAGATGTCAGACAAAATTCCAAACACAGCTATTCACTGTGCTAGGTGAGCCTAATTCCAAAATAGATTACAACCTCAAAGGAACTGAAAGAGATGCTTTCAGCAGAAGATTTGATGAGGCATCATCCAATTCAACAAAATGTCACTGACCTGTGTTTAATGCCTGAGACAGTTCTTGCAAAGACACTACACTGCTGCCCCACAGGGGGAAAAAAAAATGGAAAAAAAACCCACAGAAATGTGGCAATATAAAATCACCACTACTCAAAGAAACTTATCAATGATGGCTGTGAGAATCTGAGATTCAAGAATATACTTGCAAGACGAAACTAAAATCGGAAGAGTGGATATTAGGAACTATAATCTTTGCATCAAGAAACTGAAAAATAAACTCAAGGAAAGCAAATCCACAGCATTAATATCCAACAGAACTATGGAAAAAAATCAGTTTGAATTGAGAAACAGTTCTCAGGCACTTTCTGATACAAGAAAGAATAGGAAGACCGAAGCTGAAGAAAAAGGACAACACCCAGAACTACTGTGATTCAAGTCACTTGAGGTCAGCGACACACAGCAAACACTTGGTAAATTCAGAGTACATAGGGTCTTCAGGGAAGAGAGGCAGCAGAGACAGGAGAGACTGCTGTATGCCTAGAGAAATTACACATTTGAAAAGTGAAAGAGATGCTGAAGAAAGCAGACAATACAGAGAAAAAGATCAGATGAACAGAGGAATCTCAAAGTCAATGCTTGAAGCTGATACTACAGCAAATGACCCTGCAGTTTCCTATTAAGTTACTAAAACCCTGTGCAGAAATTTCAAGAGGAATAGGGCCAGAAAAAAAAAAAGCTGAGACTGGGAAACACTTGTAATTCAAGTGACATGGGAAACAGATGGGCAGAATCTTAAAAGTTGTCTTTATCAGACCCGTTTCACTCATCTATTTTTTTCTGACCATCAATCAGAATAAGTTACTATTAACAGCAACAGAAGAGAATTACTAAAGCATAACACTGTAATTGACAGTGTGCAAATCAGAGTGATACAAATCATAAAACAAACAGCAACTCTGGAGAAATACTAAATAAAATAGACTTGATACTGGCACCTGAAACAAAATAGTCTATCTATTCACCAAACATTTCCAACAATGGAAATACAGAACTGTGGCCAGCACAGGGAAAGTAAAAGATCGTTTTTGACCACAGGGATTGTAGAGAAAGCCACACATCACTGTTGCAATCATGTAATTTTTTTTTTTTTACAGGATTTCACAGGGGCTGAAAGAGGGAGCAAATGCAAAAAACAAGCCTAACTTAGGCCTTGAGAAGAAAATGTAAGCCCAAATAGTCACCTATAATGCCATGATGGAAGAATGAGTAGAAGGACAGATTTCATCCATCATTGCTTTAAACTGAGTTTTCACAGGCTGTACAGGCTGCAAAACATCCTTCATTCCCACAGAGTCAAGAGTAGTTAGTTGTCAGCCTCACAAAGGTAAGGACAGAGATGTGAATGATGTGCAGCACCTCCTGGAGCCAAAGCTGCAGCTCTCAGCCCACTGCCAATTGCTTGACAGGTAGAAGCCACAAATTACCTAATTGTTTTAACCCGTGGATCAAAGTCAAATCGTCAGGCTTATGAGTGACACCAACTGCAGTAGATGAAATAGGTGCTTGAATTTTATATGATGAACGGATCTCTTGAATAAACGATCACCAGATTCACTATAACACCCCTGTTTCATTTTATTGCTTTCTAGGATATGTTCCCTCACCTTCCAAAAATGCTTCACACTCCTTTTCTCCCACAGCACAACTTCACATCTGGCTGTAACAAAACACATTGTTTCCCAGAAACACAGGTGTGAACCAGTTTGCTCTGCAAGTGGCCTGTATTCTTCATCACAGAGCACTCTGCAGTCTCTGATTTCAGCAAATATTAACAAGTAACTTCACTTTATCTATGGATTTCCGACAAATGAAGATTGATAGTAAAGCCTGGTAAGCCTCCATCTGCCTACCACACTCTTTCCTATAGTTCACTGTTTTCACTGCACGGGTAAGGAACCTGGTTGCTCCTTCTGAAGCTGCCATGGCTCCATGCCACACATGATGGACACTGACTGCTTCACTCCCCACTTATAGCCCTACATCATGAGGAAAAACAAGGCTGAAATCAGATCCCAGGGCAACATCCCTGAAACTCCACTCACCCCAGTAACGATGACATTACAGATATCAGTTGGTTGCTATACACTGCAATAGATATTGTATTGACTTTGCATCACGCTAGCTTACTAACGAAGATGTTATGCAAGCAGGAAGCAAAATGTGTTAAAAAGCTGTATTAATTTTAACTGTTTTACTTCAAAGATGCTAAGCTACATGAAGAATATTGTAGTTAGCATAATACTTATTTTCCATGAGCCAGAACTCATTGTCATTAATTACTACCCTTTTACATTTATTAAATTAATCACCTGAATGATTTTGTTATTTCACTCAGGCCTAATGCCAGACTGCCAGCATTACATTCTCAGTAGTCATCCCACTCTGAAATCAGTCTCACAGAAATTTTCAAGTCCTGTGCAACTCTTTCTGTTTTCTAAGAACTATCAAAAACCTGTACGCGTGATCAACAACAACTCCAGCCTGCTCTTTCACAGCTCAAGGACATCTGCTATCTGGGCTTCTGACTTAAAACCATCACATAAGGGTTCAATGTCCTCCTCTCTGAACACTGTGAAAAACAGAGAGCGGGTTATCGCGCATCCCACAATGTAAACACCCTATCTGCCTTTTTCCCAAGATCTCAACAAAAATATTTAGTGTCTTCTGCCTCCGTACTGACTACTCAGTATCTCTGATCAGAAACACTTGGCATTGCTGGTTTTTGCGTGTGTGTTTCCTGTATTTCATTCCTGGCTATAGTTTTCTCTTCTAAACTTTTGCTAGGAGTTTTCTAGAACTCTTAGCTTCTACTTTAAAGCATTTCCTCCTTATCTTTTTAAAAAGATTGTGACTTTCTGAGATCAGTGAAAAAGCTTCTGAGCAATTTCCAGCTATCTATTCATTTCCATTTAAGGTACAATTCACAGGCCACATTACAATCATTTGCACATAAGCAGTTATTTTTGTTGTGAAGTCAGTTTAAGTGAATTACTATTTGAGGATTAGCTGCATGAGAATTAACAGGGTTTTATCGTTCAGAAGATTATAGTTACTCCGAAGAACAAAATTAATACCCTCTCTTTCTCACATAAAAATCACATTTAACATGAATATAAGGAACAGTGGATTTATGTGATATTGTATCTTAAATCCATTGGAATTACTCAACATGCAGAGAATGAAAAAAACATTTTAAAAATGTGCTCGCAGAAGAAAGCTGAATCACTGGGATGCACAGTACTTAACTGACCTAACCCTGATGCAAAATAGAAAGACTTAGTCTTCCTTAACAATTAGTGGATATAACTAATTTCTTTCACGGGGCAAAAACACAGGAAAATGGTTATCACCACTCTTCACGCTGGGGATGAGGTGACTATTCACAATGCCTGGTGCTGGCTGTCTGAGGCTCATCTCCACAGGCTT